GAGCTGCTGTGTGTGTGTGTGTGTGTGTGCTGAGCCTCCTCCTCCTCCTGGTTTGACTCGTAGCTTCTGTTTTCAGTTCCTCCTCCTCCAAACAATCATCGCCCCCATTTTTGTTTTTATTTTTTTGTTCTATTGCTTTTTTGTTTTCTCTCTGTGTGTGTGTGTGTGTGTGTGTGTGTGTGTGACAGTTTCCGGGTTGTCTCTGACCGGCTGTAGGGGTCAGAGTGCATTTGGTGTTTTCTTTTATGATGAAGCTGTAGAGACAGAAACACTGGTCGTGTGCGAGGCACATGGAAAGAGAAGAAGACGTGTCAGCTCTGCTCTCCTGTATTTTCTTTGTATATTATAAACATTTATTTAACTCAAGTTGCAGTTTGAGGTAAACAGATATTTTCAAATGTGTATGCTCCAAAAAAATAATCATTAAAATGTTTGCAAAGTATGAAGTAAAGATGGAGTCCTGTCGTCATCGTGTTTCCACCTCAGATCTCACCGTGAACTCAACATGGGAAACTCAAGCCCCTCAAATTCTGTCTGACATCAAAGTCGCTCGGGACTCGTCCCTCTGGGGCCCCCGAAGTCCCCTGAGACAAACCTGGAGTCACGGACAGAATCTGTCACAAGCTGCTCACACATCTGTTAAATATCGTCCGTCACGTGTTAGAAACCTCAGACACGCCCACTCGCTCACTGAGAAGGTTCCAGATGTTTCACGAGAGGCTGCAGGAGAAGATCCAGAGACACTGACTCAGACATGTGTCCTCACATACACAACATGCAGAACATGTGAGGAACATGTGAGGAACACGTCACAGGTTCAGTTCAGGTCTTAAAGCAGCTACAGTCATAGCACCATCTATTGGTCACACGTCATCATGTTTGAACTGATTAATCCTCAGATCACGATCTGGCCGCTCAGGCTCATGTCAGAGTCTGGTTGATTTATTGGCAAAAGATCAGCACATTTTTAATTCAGTGAATCGTCGCAGGTTCGATTCCCTGTAGTTCAATCTGTTCGTCAGCGGAGTCCTGTGATCTCCTGACGTTGGGCTGGAGAGAAGTTCTTGATATGGTGACGGACGAAACGACTAGAACATAGACTAAATAAAGATGGACGACACTGTTCCCACAGAGTGAAGTCAAATCATCTGGATCGCCCCCTGGTGGCTGGCTGCAGTACAGGTCATAAACTGCACCTCCATGTTAGCAGATGGGACATGGACCAAACTATAAACTCAAAGTAGACGTTAAATAAATGTCTTTGTTTGGTTTTGTTGAGTCACAGACTGACATGGAAGCGTTTGTATCAGATATTTGAACCTCTCAGGAAGTGGAAACGCATCGTCCATCTTTATTTAAGGTCTGTGGTGTGGAGTCTCAGCTGTCGGCCATCTTGTCCAGGGCGGTGAGCGGCGCCAGGATTCGGCTCTTGTTGGTCTCCACGATGTGTCCGTTCTGGATCATCTCGTCCAGGATGACGTGGACTCGGTCCAGGTTGAACATGATCTGGTGACAAGTCAGAGTCAAGGAAACAAACAAAGTGGCGTTCACTGACATCACGTAGTGTTGAGCTTTAACGTGCGAGTCAGGTTGAAGGATACGTCCAGTTCACTCTGCAGGGAAGCAAACACAAATACACAACTGGTGATCACACTGAACACATCACATCAACCTCGCTGCAACAGCAGTGTGTCTTTAGTCATGTGTGTGAACTCACCACTCGACTGAAGTATTTATCCAGAACCTCCACAAAGTTATGAACCAACTCGAAGACGGAAAGCTCGTTCTGTGGGAGACGGCCATAAAAACCAGCTTTGATCTTTTCTAATTGATTATACTTGAAATTTAATTTAAAATAACTTCAGAAAAAGTCAACAAATATAAACTTCAGATCGTAGATGTCGTGGCTTCACTTTTGGGAGCTGTCATGTCGTCCATCTTGGTCCAGTCTGTGGTGTGACACGTCAAACTAACCCGGAGCAGGACTCACCTCTGCGTCTGTGACTGCGACCACGATGTACAGAGCAGCGTACTGACGGTACACCAGCTTAAAGTCTTTGTACTCCACAAACGAACACTGGGGAAACACAGGAGCTCAGCTGAGTGACGAGGGAACACGTCAGCGGACTTCATGCAAACCGTGAGTACTTCAGGTACCTGCTCCTTCCTGCGGCTCAGGCAGCAGCGGACCACGTCGGCCTCCAGCGCCGCCCTCCTGCTCAGCTCCACGGGCTGGTAGTACCGGGACAGTCTGGTCTGACCCTGCCGGTTCACCATCAGCACAAACTTGATCATCGTCTGGAACAGACGTTCAAGGGTTAAAGGTCATCAGTCACTTCAGAGCATCAACACAAATAAACAAATAAACAACAGAAACAAGACACGTCATCCACACGCAGTGAGCTGTGGACATGACGTCACATCAAAGGGAAATAAGTGACTCAGAATAAAAGATGAGTGAGTTTGAACTTTGACCTTTCACGCGCTCACCTGCTGTTTGATGCTGGTGCTGCCTGGACAGTTGTGATGACGTCACCTTAAAGGAACAGTGTCACGTTTGTGGAAAAGCTGTTCGTGTTTCCAAACGTGACTGAAGCGCGAAGAGTGAAACCTGGTTCACTGAGTTACTTTAGATTGTCGAGGTCAATGAGTAGGAATATACTGTCTCCATCGGCTAATGTGACATTTGTATATTCACCTTAATATATTTACAGTTGTATTCACAGGTTTCAGGGATTTTCACATCAACACGTAAATAAAGTGGATTTACCGGAAGCGTGTGTGTTGACAGCGGCGACATGAGACCCGTGAGTCGGGCTGAAAACCACCGCAGGCTAACGGGATCCAGGCTAAGCTAAAGGGGTCCAGGCTAAGCTAACGGGATCCAGGCTAAGCTAA